AGGATGGACAGACTCGGTCGCTTGGACAGGCAGCACGGACTGCGCGAGCACATCGTGCACGGCGGTCAACAAAGATGGATGGGACATGCAGCTTCTTGAATTTGAACTTCATCTGGTTAGAAGAAGAGAGCGGAAGTTACCGATCAACGTGAAACTTGGTAACAAGCTTCCAACCTAATTTTCTGAATTGGCGGACGGTAAAGAACTGCAATCGATCACACTAGTGGGTCTGCGTCCATGGAGGACCCAAACTCTTGAGGTTGAAACATATGTGAGCATCCCTGTGGCCCGACAGGGTGGCATAGCACTACTGATTTTGTGCAGGGCTTGCCTTGACTGGGTACGCGACTACTTGCAGTATCCTTATTATATATGTGCTCGTTCCCCCACCATCCCAGGCTCATTTCGTCCTTCCGTAGCCACTTCAAGAATATCATCAGTTTCCCAACCTCACTGACAAATCCTTTCTTCTCGAACTTTACCACAGTGGACACTACATTCGCTCTCTCTGCTACCCCCAGTCCCCCCTTGTTCCATGACATCGTACTGCCCGCCTATGTCGATGTATGGATGGCTCAAGAGGACAAAAAATTGCATCGGTTCCATCTGTGTGCAGTAACGCCTCGGGATCGCAAGGGTGGAAGAAGGCAGGGCGGTGTCCACATCCGATAGGAAGTAGCATCTTCCACAATAGATTTAATCACACGTAAGTATGACTTGAGTAATGAGCTTTGAGACCTCCATGTCTCTCTCCGTGCCAGCAATGAACTTGACTAACAACCCTTCCCGAAAGACATCGAAGACGACACCGTTCGTCTGGCTGCCAGCTGCTGTGCCATCCAAGGAACCTTTGGTTTTACCCTGTTTCAGCACACATTTCAGGACTCACAAGTCCATACCTCATTAAATAGTATGTGCATGGGCTCATACCATGAGTATCCTTTCCTTTCACGAAACTCGAGTTCACCCCGACGTACTCTTGTACCGATACTGGGCCAACATCTACCAAGGTGACACTCTCACCTTCCCACGACACACTTCCAATGGATTCGCGGCGTCTTTCAGCGTTGTGGGTGATACGAATTTTTTCATCGTGTATCGCCTCAAGGATAGATTCCTAAGTCGCGACGAGACAATTGACCAGTTCTGGTAGCTGTGCGAGATCGATTACGACCACCTTCAACTTCCGGATGGCTTAGAGGCAAAGATGGTTGATCTGCATCCCGGAGACCTCTTGTACACTTCCGCGAAATCTTTGTTTGTGCTTCAACTAACCTAACACAGATTCATGCCACCTGACCAGTTCTATGCACGATATGCCGGGCTGCTGACGTATGAGACACCATCCACCCCTCGGATTGGTCTCTTTTCCTGGACAGTGACCGCGGTAAAATGTACGCGGGGCGGGAGCGCAAAGTTACTTTTGTAACCTTGCACCGGACCTACATATCCTTCAGTAAGTTGCTTTGTGCTCTATCTACCCTAGGCTTCAATGATTTCCTCACAAGTAGAGACCCATCATTGCCCCACTGGTCCTGGTTTTTATGATGCTCGACCCAGCTTCCTACGTTTCGCAGTGGCGTGATAGTGTCCAGTAAGAGGCAGGAGATGGATGACACAGTCGACATGGTGTGTGGTGGTGAGTTTGAGTCCAAGGACTGCATCGGTTTCTTTCGAAGGAGTGTCAAAAACGTAAGTCGGCGCTCTATTAACCCTTTGGATTTGTGGCTTCGACATCATCTACCGACATCAGCGACAAGAGAGCATATGCATTCTCACTCCCACTATTCAATGAAGTTGACACAGAAGTATATTTCTTTATCATACTGTCCAACTATGCGCCCCTCATCATCTCTTAGGCGTCTCTGAGAAAATTGAGCTCGCGCTCTTTCACGGCAGTGCTACGAAAGAAGGCCTTTAAGGCTGAGTTTGTCAGACTAGCCTGCGATGCTCAAACCTGCTGAGTACACAATTGAGGCATAACTAAAATAAATATGACGGATCCTCGACCAAATATCTCCTCCATGCAGAACACTCGACAACCATTTCCTACACAGTACTGCTAGTTGGTACATATACGCGCTCCTGGAAGACGATTGAATTCATGCTAGTTTCTGCATCGGATTCGGCCACGAGTTTAGCGTGATATTGTCGAACGCTAAGGATGAGGCGTGGTCCCAGCACAAACATCTGCACGAAAAATAAAATTTCACAAGCACCACCGAGTATCTCAATTCCAACGTAATTCGAATTCTACAGAAATGATGAGCAGTGGTTACATGTAGATATGTTGGCGCACCTTGACCTCTGGAGAGATATTAACAAGCTGGAGGCAAGAAACGCCGGCAACGCTAGCACATGCAGAACTTGAGCAGAAAACGATAAGCACATTCGCATTACAAGCTCACCTTGCAAAATAAAGCACGTGGGATTCCATGAGCACTCTGAAACAATCCCCGATGGTCGATCCCGTCCATGGGCCGAGTCGTCGCAGGTCACGGAAGTGCTTTGCAGCGATCCAGACTGAAAGACACAGTGCGAGGACCTCCCAAACAGTGCTGAGCATCCAGATCATTGATGTAAGAAATTGGGTATCCCTCCCCAATCTGGCATCGCACATATGAATGCCAGAGAGTATCAATTCCTCTGGTATTAGTCCAATGAGCTGTGTTCTTCAATTCAACAACTAAAGCTTACCGGATACAACATCATACTTGAGTCCTATGATCGTGATTATTCCGCAGGCGATGTTTACAGCTAGGAAGATGGTAACAAGGAAGATAAGCATCCTCTTAGATCTCTGATACATGGCATGCAACCGAGCAATCATGATGACTTGAATCATATTCAAGTTTCAGTCGAGTCAATATCACTGAGGTATCGCAGCTGGGCAACTCACCGCCCAACATGGCAGCTACGACCACATTTGTCCCATTTATTGCATAGTATATGATTTTGCCTGAAACACCTGATTAGCGGTCACCCTCGTACTAGGATAAAACACCCCGACTCACACCTGTTGAGTGATTATGTGGAGCCAAGTCCAATGGTCAAATCGCACTCACCCCTACAAATGAATGTATTCATTGGATAGGAATGAAATGATTGGGGAATACTCACTGCATCTGTCAACGAGACGATTGTAATATTTCCTGTGTGCCGCCGGTTAGAAGATTGAATACGGTGCATATGAGACATACCCAGAATGATGGCACTGATGATGAGAGATGGGCTATCAGTACAGCAACTACTTTCTGGCGTCGATTAACATACACAGAATATAGTATTCCAACATAGCGTATCTAGAACATTTTGGAGTCAGCACAACTGCCAACTATGTCATGGTATAACATGAGGTACGAACGACTAGGTACAGCATAGTCATGAGAGACCAGCGTTGGGTCTGTCACAAATTCATTGTTCTTGTTCTGATATGGGACTCTGTGACTCACCCAAACCAGGTCTATCTATGACAGCATTGTTAGCAAGTTGAGTACTCCAGCGCCATAGCATCAAACTACCTCTTGTGCGAGTGTTAATACTGGAAATATCATGAGAATATGATACAGCAATTTCAGGACACTGTGGCGCTCACCCCAATCGTATACGACCATGAAGCCTGCGGCAACTGCGAAGCCAGAAGTCAATCACAAATCAAGACATAACCAACTGATATGGCGAACCCGTCCAATAGCTGAACAAAATACTGAAATTGATGAAGGGCCACCAAGTGGGATCATTTGATACTAGGGTCATATTGGAGGATGGGTGTGTATGACGATCTAGCGTTCATGCTAGATATACAAGCATTCAGCGCTTGTATCGCCAAAATTGGCATGATGGTGATTCGGACATTTGTCTATGCATCATGCTCAAGGGAGGCCCTTGCAATTGGCTGGTGACTGGAGTACACGTAGAATTTGATTTGCATTATCCGAATTGGAAATCGGCTTCTCACGCGGAACAAGGGCCATTCGAACGGCGGGTTGAACGTTCACATCTTCCAATATCCAGAACGTTCTCTAATCGGTACCCGGTCGATTACAATACCACTCTATAATCCTATCTTTGCGACGACCCGGCCTCATCAGATAATAGATTCAAATCTAAATGTAAGTATCATACGTTCTGAACGTTGGCTGGCATAGCTCCAACTCAATTTCCGATATGATAGTCCATTGCAGTAAGATCCGATTTAGAGACCTTTGGAGCGTCTTTTTTTTTTACAATGTCGACAGCAACGCCTCCTGCGCCTTCAATCTACAAATATTTACTTAGTTTCTGCACAATCAAACCCGGGTCCATTCTCTGCCACAATCAATCCTTGCGCAAAACAAGTTTACTTGGGACGATCATAATGGTCCCATAGTGTTGTCTTCATTGCGTTCTTCATTCACGCGTGCCTTGAGACTGGATATCGCCTCCACGTCTCTTATTCCTCATTCATCTATACGTTCAAACAGAAGGCGAGAGTCATTACGCTGCGGAGCCATTATGTGATCAGCTGTCTGAGCTCAGACACGCTACTTCTACTTTCTATTCCACTTGCTTTCCATTCGTTCGGTCCAGATAACTGATAATTCAGGCTCCATAGTTCCGAATAAACATTTTTCAACAGTCTTGCACGACTCAGCATGGGATGCTATGAGCGATCAGCTCCACTTGGAAAAGGCTTGGGACAATCATCAGTGAACTGGTGAACAAATTAGAATATCATATTAAGCTATATATAGATAACATTCGTCACAATCTACGTAAACGTGGAGGGGGTAGTTACACAGAAATGTTTGACCATATACAGGAACGATGATTCTTGAAGACAACCAGTCATGTTGTCCCATGCTTGAAGCACCATCTCCTACATGTACGTTCATAGCAAGCGAGGGTGAAACTGAAGCAGACAGAGTGAAATGCAGGTCCGGAAGCATCAAGGTACACATGAAGTCACCACCTACCGTTAGTGCGAGGTCTTTCTATCAAGCCAATATCAACAGACCATTATGCGAAATGTACAGGCTAGAACACTACCTTCTCCTTCTGGATTGCTGCAGTTGATGCTTGGCCTTATAATGAGAAAATGTGAGTTCGAGTTTGACAACTGCTTTGCTTGGTAGAAGACCGGTCATTTGACTCGTACACGGCAGACGGTTGCCTAGGCTGACTAAAAGTATCTACGGCGTGCTTCACGCGGAATCCTGCGACTAGTCCACATCAAACGTATCGTGAAAGCATTTTGTCAACGAGGTGCTTCCGGCACCACTTAGAAAAGATGCGTCAACATATGACGCATGAAGTTCTAGACCTTCTTGCTTGCGACATCCGATTTACACAGTCACGAGGTGTGTGAATCTTCGTAAGCTATTGGTCTAGACTGCTATATCAAGCAAGATATTGGCAGACTGCCGGATGGAACCACATATTGCCGTGTCGTTCAATCTTCCACGGAAAAGATCGTAAGCCGAGTGTTTTTCATCAAAAAACAATCTGCGAACTCAAACACAGGAGGTATGTTTTAAAAAACCATAAAAATAGAATACATATTAACACATCAAAATACGTGTCTACCGATAGGACAGTCCCCGAAGAAAATACCTAATTCGACTATATATCTTTCTCGTGCGTACCTTTCAATTCATTTGATATGCTACACTCTCTGAGCAACGATCGAGTGCATCACAGAAATGAGACATCACTCATGTCTCAGGTACTTTGCTACTTTGTTCTGAAAACATATTCAATGTGCTTCCCTGACGTTGATACTTACCTCACGGCATATATACAGCATTATCCCGTATCAAAGACACGGTAGATATCACGCCTCAATTTCAAGACTGTCATGGAATGGGTCTCATTCTATTCACAACGGAAAAATCTTTTACAAGGAAGTCTTGTAGCGACTGAGACGAAGGCGCACAGTTCTGGAATAGCCTTTGCAGAGCAATTTGGTTAGTTCTGGTCGGCCTTGACAGCGGCAAATAATGATAATAACGATTGTTCCTCTGTTCCACTGTCACTCTAGACACAATAAATCGGACATGCAGTAACAAACTGTCGCTTGGAGACTGAATGGGCAGGGTGATGGGGTTGTGAGGAGATGGCGATGTTTACGTAGTACTTTATTCAGCAAGTTATCCTCAGTCTTCGTTTACATAGTGCGATTTTGAACACGTTACAGATGTTCGTCACCAGGACAGGTTGTTTGCAGCATAGATTTTCTATTATCAACTATCCTATCCGCCCGAGCATGTTTTCATATACCAATGTCAGTTATGGTTCTGTTGCTTCCTCCATGCGTCCCTCATGACTGCGACTGTCAGCTGATAGTCGTCAGTCGCATACCACGCGTGGCTTCCTCTACCGGTGGTATTCTACTAGGACAATGTTCCAGGGCTAATGTCGCATGTATCCAAGATAATTTTGCTTGCCGCAGTCACCAACATAGTCATTTTACATACAATGTATCCCAATGACTTCGCAAGACCGGAAGATGTAGTCGATCTCGCAGTAATTGGCATGCTTATCATTATCGATGAATTCATTCCTGCTCGCAAAATCTTCAAGAAATATATATACCGCTAATTGCGATATCATTAATTATATTAAAAGCAATTATCGTAAATGTAGACTTGGATTATACGGAAAGGCAAACGAAGGCTTGTTTTAATCTGAGTCAAAGGCGGCATCCTCCATCGCCTTTCTCTGGTCGGCTAGAGCGGTGACGGACATTTTGGACACGACCTCTGGTGTTAGGTCCTCACGATGGTTTCGTCCAAAAATTTTCCTAGACGGCAGGGTTAGAGATGTAGTACGAGGCACAACAATACATTACCTGGTCCACCACTCGAGAAGTTGGGCCACTCTACGTTGTGCGACAGGGCCAGGGACATCCTCGAAGAAGTCTACGATGTTGTTCCAGAACATTTCGTAATCGAAGTCACCGTCGACGGTGCGCCAAGATGTGACGCCGGATAGAGCGAAACGAACCTGCGAAAGATTGTATGTTCAGATATCAATAGTGGGTAACCACTGGTACTCACCTGACAGACAACATACGCAATGGAACGAGGGGTAACCTTTCTCATGTTGATAATCGAGGCCACATACGTCTTGACCTTGGCCTGGTTTAATGCGCGCCTGGCGCGCCTGTTATTCTCGAGGATGTCGGCGCCATCACCATCACCGTCAGCTTCTCTTGCGGAAGACGGCAATGTAAACGTGGCTTTGAAAGCCTAGCACAATAAAAACTTTGAGATCTCCATGAGGACTAACACTGGCTACTGACCTGAACGAGTATCTTGGACTTGAAGAGGCCTTTCTCGAGGTTGCTACTGTCGAACGAGTAATTCTCATAGAGGAAGAGTGGCCAGGAGTTCTCCGATACGATGTACTCAGATGTACGGTCGCGAATACCGGCCTTCACACTTCTCAAGCGTCAACATCATATACTAGCCGACAGAGGTTGGTACTCACCGTGCATCACTCCAGTCCCATTCGGCGGGGCAGAGCAACTTTCCGCAAGTGTCATGTACGAAGCCGCGCGAGTGCTTGTCATCGGCCTTGAGTAGACAGGACGGACGGAAATCTTGATTGACCCAGGCAGCAATGAGGTCCTTGAGAGTGGACGTATCATCACCGCGGGCAGCATCAGCTCCTCTTTTGAGCTAGAAAATCATTAGGATCCAGCTCGATAAGCGTTTGAGGGGAGAGTACGCACCTTTTTCAGCATTTCTTCGGCGTCATCAATGTCGAGTTCTGCAAGTTGTTGGTGTAGCCAAGGCACAACCTGCGCGAGTGTGATGTAACCACGTTGCAAGCGATCTTGCCTGAAGAAGATAATTAAAATTGGTACGGAACAAAAACGACGACGTACTCTGTGGTATTGTCAACCGGTTGCTCTTCGTACCTGCGATCATTTTCGGCGATTAAGTCTTCTAAGCTGGTATAGAGAACAACCATGCGGCGAATCGCCCTGCCTTGAGAAACATAGTAGGTTGTCTTTCTTTGATAGTCAATGAGCAAGAGGAATGGAGCGAGTGACATGAGATATGACGAACCTCTGCTTGGTTCCTCTTTCTTGCCATATCATTTGCAGCTCCTCTTCTAATGCGGCAATGCGGCGCTTGGCCCTTGCCTCTGCAGAGGTAGGAACTGCCCCAGAGAGGTCTGGAAGGGCGAGGGTGTGTGTCTGATGGTGATGGTCAGGCTCTGGCTCAGACATAGCAGGAGTGAGGGCGAGGTGAAGTGTGAAATGAAGTGACGAAATAAAGAGTGACGAAGGGAAAATGAAGAGCGAAAATGAAAAGAGAGAAAGATGCAGCGTCAGAAAACTCACCTGGACCATTATATATATTGC